TGATAGTATGCGCCTCAGCCTAATAAGCTAAGGCGTGCATTAGGGTGCCGGGGTTGTAGAGGTTATGGGTTTTCCCAGGCCTTTGCACCTCCTGTCACCGTATTTTTACTTTTTTCATTATGTAGTCAGCAGCAGCAGCAGCAGCAGCAGCAGCAGCAGCAGCAGCAGCAGGAGCAGCAGCAGCCGGCAGATCAGCAAGCAGCTGCAGCAGTGGCCATGGCCCGGGCCCTTTATCGCCAGGGTTTGCGGCAGCTTCCCTGGTGCCAGGACCCGAATGCAGGGTCGACTGGCTGCCGGGACTCGGGGCGTACGAGTCGTCCGGCCTGCCGGCACCCGCACGCAGGGGCCGGCCGTACTTTTATAACGCCCGTCTCAGGTGGGTGGATGGGTGGGTGGGCGACGTGGGTGTGGGTGTGGTGCGTACTTCGTGATTTGGGTTCAACTAGTGGTCGTGGAAAAAGGCCGCAGGGCCGCAGCGCACGTGTCGCAACGAGGCCTTGTGACTTTTGGGCAAAATAATGACATTTGGTGTTTTACCCCCCTCCCCCCCGTGTATGCTGCCGCCTTACCTATCCCCTCTGGCCGTTTCCCCCTTTATCACGCACCTCCTCTTCAGGTGCGGCTGGGGCATCAACCTGTGCGCCCACCGAGCGGGCGTTGCTGATGATGGGCCCGGCTGAGGTGGGTGCGGATGGGCTTGGGGTTTTGGTGCATGGGGTGTGCGTCGTGGGGACCAGCAGCGGTACCCTTGCTTGCAACTGTCACCTAATTATGTGTGTGTTAGTTGTGTCGTACTGCTAACCGTATTTTGGCTTCCCGCGCCCTTCCCCCGCCTTGTCCCTTTTCCTTCAGGTGCACTGCTGGGTGCAATTCCTCCGCACCCAGCTGCACCCAGCCGGGCGCCGCCGCTGCTGGCCAGTTGGCTGGCGGCGGCGGCGGCGGCGGCCGCGGCGGCATATAGCCGCAACTATCAACTGCTGTAAAGGCCATCGGCATCATGATCATCATGATCATCATCATCATCGTCATCATTATAATCATGGTCATCATCATCAGTTGCCGCCATTCTTGTTGGCTTGATAACTTGTTGGCTGCATGCAGCGCCAACTACGAGCAATGACCGAACGAATGGTGTCGTACAATAAACGCCATACCGGCCGTATAACGGTTAATAATAAAAATATCAATAAGTGGCGAATACAGCAGTTCTGAAAACGATCGAGTGATCAACGTTAATAATGACCAACGGTTTCGGTTGGACGGTCAAATGGAATCAATGCAGCACGAAGACTTGCGCAACTGAACTTCCAGTAATGGGCCCATGCAAAATGATCTGGGAGGTACCTGGGCGGATGCTGTCGGGGCCTGGGGTGGCCGGGCGCAGTGCGGTTTGGGGTTTTGCCTAGCACAATGCGATTGGGGGGCATGGCCTGGCATGATGCGGTTCGGGGGGCATGGCCTGGCATGATGCGATTGGGGGGACATGGCCAGGCATGTTGCGGTTCGAGGGACATGGCCTGGCATGATGCGGTTCGGGGGACATGGCCTGGCATGATGTGATTGGGGGGCATGGCCTGGCATGATGCGGTTCGGGGGGCATGGCCTGGCATGATGCGGTTCGGG